CTCCACTTTTTGTTGTTGTCAACTGCTGGTTGTTGCGCTGTCGAGTACTGTCTTCTAGCTGCCGCCAGGAGCTGTTGCTGTTCTCGTCGTTGCTGTGTGAGTCTCCCACGCGCAGTGTCAAGCTGTCGAATCTGAGCATGCAACCTTTGTTCCCGGGCCTCCAACTCTTTCTTCCCGCGTTCGAGTGACCGTTCTCGACTAACAAACGACGTGTCAGTATCTTGCACTACCGCGGCTTGTTGAGCCACAAGTTGCTGACGTTCCAGCAACTCTTGCGTGCCGACGTCAAGTTTCTCCGCTAGTGCGACAACCTCTTGCGTACGTTCCGCCAGTCGCGCTTCTGCGTCTTGAACGTGTTGCCGCATGCTCTCGAGTGTTTGAAATTCATCTTCGTGGCCAGCCAACTCCGTTTCGAGGTCCTCGCGGTCCGCGCGAAGCTCGCGCCACGCGTCTTCAAGCGCTAAACGCGACGCTCGAAGCTCCTCGTGCTCGCGCTCAATCTCTAGCGCAGTTTGTTCGCGGAAGGCCGCAAACTCCGCTCGAGCTTCATACAACGCACGCTCATCGCGTTCCAGTTGCGTCCTTCTAGTTGCTAAACGTGCTTCGTACACCCGCGCGTCCTCTCGAGCTTCAGCCAGTTGCTTCCCCATATACGCGGCATGAGTATCCTCTTGGTCCCGTAGTGCGGCAGCATGGGCCTGGAGATGAGCGCTAAGTGCGTCTAGACGTTGCTGCTCCTGTCGCAGACGCTCCTTATCTTCTAACGCTCCTTGTCGAGCGTTGCGCGCCCCCGCTTCGAGTTCTCGTAATAACTCTGCTAGTTTCAGTCGCTCTTGCTCAGCGTGTTGAGCTGCGCGCTTCGAGCTTCCCTCTAGCGACGCGATCACTCGAAGACGTGCCTCATCTTCAGCAGCAACGCGTGCTGCGGAGTTGTCAAGGCCTAAACCTTCCTCGTGTACTTGATGCGTTACAGTGAGACGTGCTAATGCACGTTGCATCTGCGCACTAAGCGCCTCAAGCGCGCGCTTCTCTCGGTGGCGTTCTAACTGGTCCGCGTCGTCCTGTTCGGCCATTTTCCGTGCTAGAGTCAACTCTGCATCCTGGATGGCGCGTTTCGAGCGGTACAGCTCGTCACGAAGTCCTCGTATCTCGGCTTCCAAGAGCTCAGCTCGATGTTGGTAGCTCGCTGCTTCCTCTTTACAGCTTGCAGCTACCTGGTCGGCTTGGAGTTTATCACGTTCCACTGTTGCGAGTTGTTGAGTCAGTTGAGTGTTCGCTGCTACTCGTGCATCAAGTTGCTGCGACAGTTGGTTAACCAGTGATTCTCGTTCTTCCAGTTGCTGAGATAGTTGCGTAGCGAGCGCTTCTCGTTCCTCCTGTTGTTGCGTGAGTTGTTGCGCGAGTTGACTGTTAGACGCTGTTTGAGTCTGCAACTGTTGCGTGAGTTCATCGAGTTGTTGCTGCAGTGCAACTCGCTCGACGTCAAATGTTGCAGTAAGCGCTTTTTCGCGTTCTTCACAGTTGCAAACTGGAGCAAAAATTGTCTTTACGTCCGGAATTTCGTCGTTTTTACTTGGTTGAAGTTGCTTCGGCTTTTGCTTTAACACCTTCGAATCTTTCATTTCTTCTATCGGCGAGGGCCTGACAATTGAAATATGTGGAGTCTCCTCTTGGGCTTGAGAGTTGTGCTCTTGTACTTTTCTAATTGGCTCCTCAGCGATAGGAGCGATTTTGTCTTCAACGTCGAAGGACTGGGAGTACGAGTTGCGTCGCTGGGGACTGCTGCGAGCAGAGGCAGGAGGCGACGGTAGAATTTCCTCTAGCAGACTGTCTTTTGGCAGTTCCAAGTCGCTTTCGCGGATGCGTTTGTCGACTGTTAGTGATCGGATGCGACCTGGTGATGGCGGAGTATCAGGTCTGTCATTTGATGGAGCTACCATCTCTGTCGCTACCTCTGGAGCTGTTGCTAAAGGCTTTGACAGAACTGGAGAGGGTGGTAAAGAACTCTTGAAAGGGTCTTCTACTTTGATCACTTCCTTGTTGGGCGAGCTGTTGTTACTGTTGGTGCCACGGCTGCGACGTCGTGATAGTACAGCTCCTCTTGGCTCGGAAAGATCTCCTAGGAGGTCCATCAGCAAGCTGTCTCTAGCGCTAGAAAGGTCGGCATCTGTACTTGCCGTGGGTAGTTCAGCGTCTTTGAGTGACTCCAATTTCTTCGGTGAGGTCCGTTCTTTAGGCGGAGTTGTTGATTTTATCGCAATTTTTTGTTCCTTTTTTGGTTTGTCATATACCGTGCTTTTGGATGAAGGGGTGGCAAAAAGCTCATCCAGGAGATCATTTTGCTGCTTTACTGCGGGCTCCAATGGAATCTCCGTTTTCGGTTTCTTATCGTAATTTTCTTCTTCATTTTTTGAGAACGACTCCTCCTGTTGACGACCGCTACGTGGCTCCGACGAAAATAAATCAGCTAGGAGATCGTCTTTTGCTGATAAAACCTGAATGCCGCGAGCTAGAAGAGGGTCATCTCGACCTTGACTCGAAGTCCTTTCGTCAATGGGATCTTTAAGACGCGGTCTCGTTTCGAAATCGTCTGATAAATCGCGTGTAGGTTTGGCGAACGGATCGTCGAAAGCACTTTTTCTACTGCTGGATGCTCCGAAGAGCGAGTCAAAAGTGGAGCTGGAAGTTGTAGTCGAGGCTCCAAGACCAAAAGGGTCCGATTCAGCTCCACCGGCTTGTCTTCGGCCTCCACGAGTCCCAGCTCGACGCTCAGCTGATGGACCCAACAACGAATACAACGACGTCGAGTTGAAGTCATCTTTTGTCTCATCCTGGAAAAAAGATGCTGAGATACCGTCACTTACTTTGGCAGGTTCATATGTATCAATTGTGGGAGGGACTTTAGCCTCTTGAGTTTTTTTCGAGCCACGCACAGTTGGGGTGTACCCCGAGATCCCGAAAGTTTCATCTGCGTCGAAATTGTCCACTTTATCGTCGTCTCCTTTCCCAAATGGCTCCGAAGACTCAGCAGCTCCGAAATCTGTACCACCGCCAATGTCCCCGCCAAGCATTTTAGCGAATTCATCATCCAGTCCGCTCCCGCTAGCGTTCTTCCGTCTCGCAGCAGCAGCTGCAGCCATTTCCAGTTCAGCAGCGCTATCCCAGTTCTTTGCCAAAGACGTCCAGTTGTCAGTATCGCCACCGAAGTCATCATCATCGTTAAATGTGGTTTTCTTCGACTTGGACTTGCTCTTCTTCTTGCTGCTACTGGAGCTTCTCGACTTGTCTTTGTCTTTGGATTTGTGCTTCTTTTTGTCGTCGCTCTTGTCCTTCGAAGACGATTTTGACTTTTTCTTACTTGAGTCGTCACCAAGCAGGTCGCCAACATCAAAGTCGGACATGTCGACGTCTGCATTGTTGCGAGCGCCAGAAATCGAGATAAGGCCACCGGTGAGATCGTTCGCTCCGCTCTTCTTGGAGCCAGAACTGCCTCTGGACGTGCCACCGATCGGGATGAGGTCGTCCAGCGGCATAGCTTCAGTCTGTAATTACTCTTGCCACACTTCGTGCTGAAGCAATCGTTTCGTGCCATCTTTCTCCACTTCCCAAGTGGGGCAAGATAAACTTGGAACTCCTGAGGCAAAACTGATTCTGCAACGGCGGCAGCTTGCAAGACCATCACTCCTTCAATTCTGAAGCGTCAACTATTGCGATTACGAAAACAAATTTGACAAAATACATGTAAAGTAGACCAAAAAGCCAAAAATCTCTCCCTGGACCTGCCTTTCAACCAATCATCGATCGGAAACATTTGCTATGCGTCATCATCGTGCTTCGAATAGAAGACCCCTACGAATCGCTCGATTATCCGCGGACCTGGCAAACCTTATGCTTCGTCGAGATCGCGAATAATTATGCAAGCCAGTCAAGTGGTAACAGCGCCAGATTTAGCTAGAGCCCCTCCGAAATATACGCACATGACTGGTGTGGAGTGCTTGCTGAAAGGTCGCGAAAACCGTCGAGGCAGATCGTCCGAATTTCGATTTTAAAGCTGGGCAATTTCGCGGCAATGCATCGCAATAGATAGTTGAATACGTCGCTGCGGTCCGTCAACTGCTTCACAGCAGATACATTAATATACATGTACTTACTCGTTTGGATAGCCAAACGGGCTGCCCGTCGACAACGCTTCCAAACAGCGACAAAAATTCGTAAGAAATGACCTATCAGTCCACATTAGCCTTCAGCATTCAATGCATCGTATCTCAAAAGTATTGATTCTCGCAGGCTCCCTTCGGACCCACCGTCGAGTGATTGCGTGTCCTGCTCACTTCCCAATCAGTCCGCCAGGCCATAAGGTGCTCCCGAGTCAGACGGCAAAGCGCGAGAGCGAGCGCGCCACAACGAGACCATCAGGCTGTCTCTCACCGCGTTGGGGGTCGTGCACGTATAGATTAATAGACTCAACACCCATGACGCAGCTGCAGAAGTCCAAGAAGACCGTGGCGGACATCGCGCAGGCCACTTTCAAGCATGTGCCGGTTCTGGACGCCAACGCCCCGGGCCTCACGTGTCTAGGCGACCAGGTCACCACGACGTTTGTGGCGGAGACAGCGCTACCCACAGATGGCGGCATGTTCCGCGTACGCGCGTACCGCTCTGTGGGCTCCTTACGTGAGAGCGAGCCTATCGCCATGATTACCGGAGACGTGCGCGGCAAACGCAACGTACCAGTCCGCGTGCACGACCAGTGCTTCACGTCGGAAGTGTTCGGATCCCTCAAGTGCGACTGCAGGGAACAGCTGGACTACGCCAAGGCGTACACTAAGCAGCACGGTGGCGTGGTTATCTACATGCCACAGGAAGGGCGTGGGATCGGTCTGGCCAATAAGATCATGGCCTACTCCATGCAGGAACGCGGTCTAGATACGGTAGACGCCAACCGCGTGTTGGGCTTCAAGGACGACTATCGTTCGTACGAGCCTGTGCCGGCCATCCTCAAGGACCTGGGCGTCCAGTCTATTCGACTACTGACCAACAACCCGCGCAAGATCCGATTACTGAGTCAACTTGGCATCACTGTCGAGGGCCGACTGCCTGTGGTGATCAAAGGCGGCGAGTTGAGTCAGCAAGATCTGACAGAAAGCGAAGCGGATGTCGCCTTGCTGCTGGAGCTCTGGTGACGAGATACGTCACGGACGAGAGTCAGGATGAAGACGAACAACAGACCATCCTCAGGAAGCTGTAGCAGCCGCATCACCACGGCGTCGTCGTCCTCGTCCTCTGGAGAATATTAATGGAGTCCGCCGTAAAATTAAGCGGGAGAGCGACGATCACCGCCATATGAGCCTTCTCACTGGGGACGCTTGGCCACGAGGACTTCGAAGACCTTCGCGTGCCTGCCCCCTCTCGACCAATTCGTCTCAGTCTTCCTCGTCGCAGTGTCCAGCTTCAACGTTGAGCAAACAAGTGCTTGAAGCTGGCAACCGGCATTTTTGAAGAGGAAAAGGACCGCGACTCCAGCAACATGGAGTCAAAAAGCTGTAGACTATTTAGCACGCCTAGCAGCGCATTGAACAAACAAACATCATTATGCAAAACACGAAAAGAAACACATTTACACTGGCAGTAAATAATCTCAAGTTGCTCAGCGAGATCTTGACCGCTAATCAAGTGAATCAGAAGATCTGATTCACTAGCATTGGGCTAAAATACCAACCAATCAGATGCAGCTAATTAAGTTCCCAATATAATCCAATCCCATTGCTCCACGGTGGTTCCTCCCTTCCAAAAACAAGAAGACTTATTCGGACTTGTCGCTGTTGCTAGCCCTGAGCGTCCGCGACGACGACGACGACGCATTGAGCACCAGTTTCGCTGAAATTCCTGCTTAAATCGTGTGCAGCGGCAGATATTGAGACTTAAAACATGCTGGACGACAATCGCAAGATCGGCACACTGTTGCTGGGTCTGGGCTTCATGTTTTTGATGCTGGGCGTGCTCATGATCTTCGACGCGGCCATGCTGGCGCTTGGTGACGTGCTGTTCCTGAGCGGCGTGGCGCTCACCATTGGCTTATCACGCACGGTGCGTTTCTTCACACGCAAGGAGCGATGGCGGGGTATTGTGTGTTTCTTGGGCGGCATTCTGCTGGTCATGCTGCGCTACCCTGTGATCGGCATGATTATCCAGAGCTTCGGCTTCCTCAACCTTTTCGGCTCCTTCTTCCCCGTGGCTTTGGCTTTCCTGCGCCAGACTCCCGTGATAGGCAACGTGCTCAACTTGCATGTAGTTAGCGAGATTGTCGACAGACTAGCGGGCGCACAGAAGCGCGGATACCAGGTGTAATGACAGGGGCATATGGAGATATATAGGAGCGGAAGACGTGATAGAAGTACACGGGGAAGTTGGTTCAAGCGAAAAATAATGTCCACGAAGTTTGACTGTCCCAATGTCACAAATATCTTCAGCTTCAGTTAAGTAGAGGTTCAAGTGATACCTTAGCTCTCTGCAGCTCCGATTACAGTTCTTACTGGCTGTCCCACCAGCGTTTTGAAAAGTCAAGATAGCGCTTGTAGTTCGGGTGCAAGTACGCTTTGTCTTCTAAACCCTTTAATCCCAGCTTGATCTCAACACTCTTCGGGGTTTCCCCGGTCCGAACCCAGAATTTGTACTTGAGTTTCCAAGGAATCAATCCCCGTTCTTCGCCTTTAGCAACGTCACCAACCTCGTTCTCATAGTGGTGATTCCTCAGGTTCTGCCGAGTGGGTGGGTTGAGCAACGGTATGGTGCAAAGGCTGCAACTTGTCACGCCTGTTGTGATGACCGGCAGCCTGCTGACCCATGGATTTCTATCAACTGTTGCGCCGTGTTCGTACATCAACCTTTCATCCAATCACCAATATTCAAACACTTTTTCATCCAATCCAAAGGCATGTGCTCGCCAGCCAAGCCGTCACTCTGAAATCGGACACCGAGCCAGCAAGATCACGATGCCCGCCAGCTTCTTCAGCTCTCTACGCGACCGCGTGGCCGCCGTGGACTCGCTCCTGTGTGTGGGTCTGGATCCTCACGTAGCAGAGCTACCGGAGGCCACGGCCGCTGCAGCGCAGGCCTTCTGCCTCAACATCATCGAGCAGACGCACCACGTTGCGGCCGCCTACAAACCCAACTCGGCTTTCTTCGAGGCTTTCGGTGCTGAGGGCATCACAGCGCTCCACTCCGTCATCAAGGCCATCCCATCCGGTATCCCCGTCCTTCTAGACGCCAAACGCGGTGACATTAGCACCACCGCCGCCGCGTACGCCGTCTCCGCCTTTGACAAGCTCGAAGCGCACGCCATCACGTTGGCTCCGTACATGGGCGCAGACTCTATCGATCCATTTGTACGCGGCCACCCTGAACGCGGCTGCTTTGTGCTGTGTAAGACGTCGAACCCTAGCGCCAACGACTTCCAGACGCTGTCCGTGGGCTCCCGTGCGCTGTTCGAGGAGGTGGCTGCCAAGTGCGAGCAATGGAACTCGGAGGACAACGTCGGCCTCGTAGTGGGAGCCACAGATGTCAAGGCACTGCGTCGTGTACGCGCTGTGACGCCCAATCTGTGGATCCTGGCGCCAGGTATTGGCGCTCAAGGTGGCAACTTGGAGGAGGCGGTGACGGCCGGTCTGTCATCCGATGGCCTGGGTCTACTGGTACCGGTATCGCGCGGTATCTCCAAGGCTGCCAACCCTAAGGAAGCGGCCGAGTCTCTGCGTGACGCCATCAACGCTGCCCGCAAGACCAAAGTGGCTACATCCACCACTGTAGCCAACTCGAGTGTAAACGAGTTCATTAAGTTCGCACTGTCCTTCGGCGTGCTTAAGTTCGGTGACTTTACGCTCAAGTCCGGACGTCAAAGTCCCTACTTCTTCAACGCCGGTCTGTTCCGTACCGGCCGCGCGCTCGGCCAACTCGGCAAGTTCTACGCACAGGCGATCCACGTACGTTGGATTTTGGATACAGTGGTAATTTTTGTGATTGTTTTACTAAGTTTTGTGGTTAATTTACAGGATAGCGGGGTGGAATTCGACGTGCTGTTTGGTCCGGCGTACAAGGGCATCACATTGGCGGCGGCTGTGGCCATCGCGTACGCTGATATGTATGGGGTGGACCTCCCTTTCGCGTACAACCGTAAGGAGGCTAAGGACCATGGCGAAGGCGGCGTACTCGTTGGTGCCGATATGACTGGAAAGAAGTAAGAGAAATTTTGGGTTGTGCGAAGTGAATTTTGTACTAATTATTGTGTTTTATTATTTTATTAGGGTGCTGATTATTGACGACGTGATCACTGCCGGTACTGCTATTCGTGAGGCGTTCGGGATCTTGGAGAAGACGAACGCGCAAGTCTCGGGCGTGTGCATTTCGTTGGACCGTCAGGAGAAGGTTTCGATCGAAGACACTCGCTCTGCTATTGACCAAGTGCGGGAGAGCTTCGGCATCCCCGTGGTCAGTATCGCTACGCTCGATAACCTCGTGGGTTACCTTGAGACTGTGGACACGGCAACCGACGCCAACGCCTCGTACTTGCCGGTCATTCGTGCCTACCGTGCTGACTACGGTGTGTGCAAGCAGTAGATTGCTACAGTTTAAAACTCCCAAGCATAATAAAAAAACACAAGTGACGTGACCGTCATGAACAGTGCACAACGAATTTTGTCATCGATTAGTTGAGAAGGTAGTGTTAATGGGGCTTGGAAGTGACCTAACGGCCTCTCTCAAACACGCGCCCTGGGGTTGTAAATCTCTGGTGGCGATGGTATTGTCTGCTTTAACTGCAGTCAGGGAGATGACAGCAACAAGAGCAAAGGCGATGAATGTGGCGAGTCTTCCCATCTTGAAGGCTTGACTTGACTTTGAGGCGTTGGCACGGCGGTAAATCGAAGAATAAATATCTGAGGCCACGGGATATTTGAAGTTCTTGAAGTGCTGTATAGAATGCAATACCAAACTGTTTATCACGAATTGCGATGCAGTACTGTACGGGTTACCAAATTGTTTACTTTACTACTTCAAGTAGGTATAATAAGTTTTAATTTAAAATTTGGTACTGTTGCCGTAAGTTGGCACGGCTCAATCTGCATTGGTACTGTAATGGGACTATACTGGGGACAGTCTACAACCAATTTTATTACATTGGCAGTGTGGGACCCCCCCCCCCGGTTCAATTGCGCGATTGTTACCTGCTGACCCTAGGATACAAAATACATAGATGGAAATTTCGACAGAATATCACGGCAGAATACCGGTAAGTAAAACGCACAATAAATCATGTCTGTGATAATTCAGTGGACGCCTTCCAAAAATATAGTAAGCACCTGACATACCTGCAGCAGATTGCAGGCATAACGATCGAATAAAATCCGTGGGGCGTAAAAATCGTCTGAGTAATCTACCCTTCCCCTATATTTAATCTCTGTAGCCATCTTATCGCTAGATCTAGAATTTTGTATTGAAAATGCTGACCATCGCTCTGAACTGACCCACAATCACTCTCTCTGCATATATCTCGCATATCTCATTTTTGCGCTCAAGTTGCAGAAGCCCACACTTTCGAAAATCGGTCGTTGAGGGCAAAGTGCCGCCATCGTAGCGAAAGGTACGTACTCAAGAAGCTTGGAGAAGAATGTTTGCTAATTAACTTCCTACTTGCAGGAGATGGTTCACTCGGCCACGTATTGGCGCGAGCGGTGCATTGCAGATTCGTCGACGGAGGAGGAGAACACGCCGCCTAATCTCCACACTGGTGTTGCCGATAATCTGGACGGGTACAGCTCAACAGGCACTTCGTCTGTAGTGAGGGATACGCCGCCGCGCAAGCCGAAGCCGGGGGTCACTCCGACAGTCAGTGATGGGTTGCGGGCATCAGCATCTCCTTCACACACGCGCGCGCCACGCAGCCCGACGACATCATCACCGGTGATGCTGGGGGCGCCCCCATCGCCACGGCTTCGTCCGCGCCCAAGCGTTCCTCTACGCGAGCATCGTTCATCACGGCTAGAGCGTCGGGCTGCTGCTGACCCATACCGCCGACGTCATGGTCATCCTCGTGAGCCAGCGTCATCGTCGCCTAACCCCCGGGGACTCCTGAGAACAAGCCCCATCTCGGCTCTAAAGCCGCGTGTTGCTGTGTCCCGTTCTCGCGACCGCTTTGTACCTGCAGACTGGCCGTGTCGAGTGGCCAACCTGCGCACCCCGTTTAACCCGACCGGTTTGGTGTTCCCGACGGTGGCCCACTTCGGCTGGTGTGAGTGCGCGCTGCCGTGCCGTGTGGGTACGTGCAGGAGCTCACTGATGCAGATTTTCTGCACGCCAGGCTGCTGCCCTTACGAAGCCAATTGTGGGAACGCCTTGGGCGAGTCCTCTTCGGTTTTCTTGGCGCGGAATGTTTTCACACGGCAGTTGGCGGTTGTAGCGGCTGAAGACATCGAAGCGGGTGAAGTGCTGGGCGAGTATTTGGGCGAGTTTGAGCATGTGAGCGTCAATCCCCGCGGCCGACCTCAAAACAAAGGCTATCGTCTTGTTATGACACAGAGACCGGAAAGGCCGAGCCACCCGATCCGTGTCGCAATCATCGCAGAGAGCATGGGCGGCCTAATGCGCTTCGTTAACCACTCGTGTGCGCCGGTGGCGCAGTTCGTAGAGGTGTCAAACGGCCGTCGCACCACCGTTGTCGTTGCCACGACGGAATACATCCGGGAAGGAGAGGAAATCACCGTCGACTACGGGACGGATCTCTGGTTCGTGTGTCGTTACGGCCTCGCGACCTGCCGCCACCGCGAGATCTAGAAAGAGCAGGACCCGTAGCGTGCGTGCGGGTACCAGCAAGATGTGAGCGTGATGAGTAGAAGCGATTACATACTAACATCCTGTGAATGAATGTATCCATCTTTGAAAGTCCACGCTGGTGTTGAAGTGAAGCTGTACGTCTCTTCATTTCGAAGCTTTACAGTCTAAGTTGAAGCTGGAGGACGGAGTTTCGCGCCAAAAAAGAGCCCCAAAGAGATACCAACGGTAAGAAAAAGCTTCGGTCTCCGTTGGCGCACTCTTGTAGCTTCTACTGACGCTCGATTTTGGTGGATAGAGGCCAAAGAGCGCCGCCGGCGCCGCGCAAAAGCGCGGCGCTGACAAGGCAAATTCGGAACTCTCATTACTGGTTTTGCCAAGCTTCGGGCAAGTCCAACCCCGTTCTCGACGTAGCCCTCGCCCTTCAGTGCCCTCAGCGTTCTCAACGACCCCGGTACTTGTCAAAACCTCTCCTGTGTTCCCGCTAAAGCCTTACTAACGTTTTGTCTATCGATGCGCTCGTGTTCTTACTTGTAGATGGCTAAACTAACAGGGAATACAAACTACAATTTTTCTGAAGTGCAACGACTGCTAACTCTCGTCGAGAAGTTCCTGCCACTTGGTAAAGATGAGTGGGAACGTCTGGCAATCTCCTATAACTCAAACTGAGGTCGTAGCATCTCCGAGCGTGATTACGAGAGTCTGCGGCGAAAGTTTAAGATGCTCTACAGTACCCGCAAACCAACGGGTGTGGCGGACATGCCTCCACATATCAAGGAGGCGAAGCTGCTGAAGAAGAACATTGACGAAAAGGCGGGGGTGACGGAAATGGACGACGGTGCCGATGTCGACGGCCAATTCGAAGATGGAGAGGACGACCAGCCTGACTTCAGCTTTGACTTGGAAGGCTTTGACGACATGGTTAACACCTCCGCTGTCAGTGCAACCAGCCTCCACTCGGCCACCAACCTAGGCGAAGTGTCGGTCGACGACTCCACCGCTCCAATCGCCGGCATGGACGAGCTGATGGATTCGGCTGCTGGGCGCGAAGGACTTGAGGCGTTTGCAAACACTTCGGGACCGTCCCCAGTCTGTACCAGATCCTCGCAACGACAGGGCCGATCCACCGGTTTGCCGAAGCCGAACGTGCCGCAACCTTCGACCTCAAGCGTCATCAGCGTGGAGAAAACCGCCTCGATCCGAGCTGACGACACAGAGTATTCGAAGCGATACCACACGTCCTCCAACCGCCTCGGCGGTGGCAACCTAGCCGAATTTCGAAGCATCAGTGGACGCAAACGCGGAGCTGACGACGACGATGATCTCTCGGAGGCCAGCTACGCCAAAGTGAAGAGAGTTAAGGCTACGAAAGCGGCCAACCAATTGAAGAAACGCCTCAGTGACCTGGCGACAGATTCCTCCGCGGTGGGGGGCAATATCGTTGAGATGATGATCCTCATGCGAGAGGACAGCGAACGCAGAGGTGAAGCTCGTCGTGCCGATGAAGAACAGCGCCGACGCAATGAAGTCGCAGCCCGGGGGGCCCTCTGGCACGCCGAGAAACTTGAAGCTGAAGAGCGCCGCCGCCAAGAGAAGATGGAGATGGAAGAAAGAGCTCGTCGCGATAAGGAGGAAGCCCGCGCTCGCTCGCAAGAGCTCATGTTCTTCATTGGTGCCCTCTTCAAGAAGGAGTGAAAAGATATACGGTCAGTGCTTCTAGCGTTAGAAGTCTACCCCAGAAACCAGCCCACAGAGGGAGGAAGTCCACTTCGTAGCGTTGCATATTGAGAATAGCCCTTGATAGAGAGCGAAAATGCCACAAACACGATGCTAATTGTCCGTCATCTCCGCTCGTATACAACTCGTAGTGAAACTACTCATGCAAAGGAACTTTGCCACTGTTCTTCAAATACATAATCCCAATCCCGTGTTACAGGGAGATCTCCATCGCGCCTGTAAACGTCGTTCGGATTTCCGAAATGCCCACCGTGCGGACTCGGTAATTTGCCATCCAAAATAAGTTTGTTAAGTCGCAGTCCACGAAGCTTCTGGTCGTAGGGAAGCGGCAGGTTCAAGCGACTGTAAACCTTCTGCACGCTGCCCATGCCCCACTCAGCAGCCTGTCTCACCGACGTGATGGCGTTGTGCAGGGTGCGCGCCGAGCTTCGTAGCGACGGTTGAATTCTCTCGCGATCCCCGTCCTTCAACGGTGACAATATTCTCCCGGTCATCGCCGTGGAGCAGGGAAACGCCGAATCTGACACGGCGTTCATGCGCACATCCGGACAGTAAGTAGGATCCAGGAGCTTCATGCGAAATCCCAAAGAGGTGTCGGAATCGTTCCAGGACCCAGGGCAGTTATGCTTGGACCATATAATGCACCCGTCGGCGGCGAAGCAGATCGTGCCGGTCACCAGCACGGAGTGTAGCCATCCGTTATACATCGCATTTTGTAGGTCAGCATTAGATGGTTGCTGCACCTGAAACATATAGACAGCAACAAAAGAATATTATTTGGCATGTAGCTATATAGAGAGTCAGTATAGAGACCCACACGAAAGTTCTTGCCGTCTATGAACCCGAACGTGTGTTTCAATAGCGGCTCGCGGGAATTGACCATCGTCGCCAGATCTCTCTGTCGAGATGGCGACGGAACGAAATAACGTCCCTAGATAGAAGTCCTGAAGGGAACACGACAATGCCTCTTCGGCCTTACGTAGCGAGCGCGACAACGTGCTGAAAGGAGCCCCGAACAACGTGCACAGAGTCGCGATCTCCATTGAACCCACGTA